GGTGCTACACTTACTGGTACTCCGACTACTGGTTCTACAACAACCGGAATTACCGCCATAGGTACTGCCCTAGTATATAGGAGTTCCACTATTTATCCTTGTATTGTACTGTGGTACTACAGTCTATTACGATAACCACTATTACTTCTAAGGGCGCGTTCCCATTATGTCGTAACGTTTTATTTATCGTTGGACGACTGTCGCGTCAAACCTGTTCTCGTATCACGACTATCTGTCGTGACTGTGTCGTGGACATTTATTTTACCGTTGCACGACTGTCGCGTCTAGCTGTTCCTACTAGATCGTGACGACAATTTATCGGCGCACGTGCAGATAACGATTAATAAAACTTGACGACAACAGTAGCTGCGATTATCTGTCGTCACATTTTTATCGTGACGCTTTATTTATCGTCGAACGATTGTCGGTCTAACTCTTCCCATTGTCTTGACCGTCTGTCATCGCAAAGTCAAAAAAGCCGCGAACGACAGTTAAACGTGTTGTACTATATGTGAACAACTTCATTTAACTATACAAGCCACGACCTTTAAAGCTGCACGACTCCGTTGTGGCGATATAATGAGAACGCGCTCTTATCGTGTCGATAGCATACACTGTATTATTGTAGCTACGAAGTTATTCCCACTTAGAGTTTCATGGTCATTCCTCTCAGGGGAATCTGCCTTACGAATGAGCAGTAGAGTTTAACAAATACTACGATTTCAAGTGTAATTTGAATTCCTATGAATTAGAGAGGCTTTGTTTTTGGTTACCCACGTCTCTAGTGGGTAGTAGCCGCTAATAGCCATCCTGAAGTGTGGCGCGAGTATGCCATCGTACTGAAAGGATTTACCAACCGGCGTAACGTCTTCGTCGATTGTTGCCCAGGGTACGTCTGACGTACAGAGGACATGACTAGTATACGCCATTGCGAGGAGTCTCCTTTCGTGCATGTCTATTAGTACAATTACTGAAACTCAACTATTATTTGCCAGATCGGCAGCTCTTCCGGAACCGACAGTGGCGCGCTTTGTGAAATTACGTCTCTCAGGACCACATCCACCTGCAGGCAATGACGATCAGGTACAGAGGTGTTCATATTCTAATTATTTGTTTTTTTTGTTTTTCTTCAATGCCTTAGTATGTAATAATAATAATAACGCACACACTCAACACCGCCCCCAATAATAACCCCGCACTAGAGAAACCCTGTGTTGCGGGTGCCATGGACACACACATAGACAAATTACACCCAAACTCACGAGAGAAATAAATGTAGGCCATACAAATATTTCTTCTGGCCCGCGAATTAAACCTTCCCAGGTCCTCTGCGTGGCAGTCCGGCATGGTAACCGTTCGGCCACGGAGGCAGTTAAATAATGTGTTTTTATGATGTGACGGTGTCGACCTTCTTCATCAATTATCTTACCTTTTTATCATCCTCTTTCCCTGGTTCCTTGTAACTTAATTTTAAAACTTTTCATCGTTCTCGAATTCCCTTTTCCTCCTCTATTCTTACGTTCACTCGATCTGTCGTCATTTCCATCAAAATTCTTGAAATGAGAAGACGTGCCCATTAGTCACAAATCATTTTCATTTCCTTATTGTTAAGAGTGGTTACATACGGCAGCGGCAAACGCGCGTGTAGCGTTTTATAGGCGATTGCATCGATGCGAACTCGTGTGTGACTGCATCGATACAAACGCGCGAGATTCTTATTTTTGAATGGAAAAATGGCGGGTTTTTGAAGTTACGAGTACAGTTTTTACAAAGATTATTTTTATTTTAAGTATATTATGAAGAAAAAACTAAGAAAGAAATAGTGATGAAGAAAGTTAGAACTATATTTTAAATCAAATTACAAAAGACTTGATCCTGAAAATTTCACTAATTACGAATACAAAGTTATTGTTCAAACTGATAGAAGATAGTGTGATTTAAGTGAAAGTAAAACATAAATATTTACTCCCGCCGCTTAAAACACTAATAAACCCAAATAAGTGAAGTAAGTTATTTAAGAGAAAGTGGAAACATAATGTATTAGAATTTAGAACTACAATGGCAAATATTACTAAGGATCCCGATAATTAAACGAAGACATGGCTCAAAGGACTTGTATCCACGCCAAAACTATTAATAAAAAAAATACAAACGCGCGATTGCATCGATACAAACGCGCGATTGCATCGATACAAACGCGCGATTGCATCGATGCAATCGCCTATAAATCTCAAGCGTAGCGATGTAATCGTGTGTTTGTATCGATACAGTCGCGCGCTTGCATCGCTGCTTAAAATCGCGTGCTTGTGTAAAGGTAGACGATTAGCGACAGCAACGCGTTTGTATCGCTCTAAATATTATTTTTAGCAGTATCGTTCTTTGTGAAAGAGTTCGTCCAGGGAAGTCATGCCACTTCACCTATTTCTGCCGCCAAGCAGTAATAAGAGCATTGAATTAATTAGTTCCCAAAGTGGTCCAGGTGGACCCCCAGGGGTCCACGAGGGACTCGACGGGGGTCTACGTTGGCGTGACAAAACATAATATAGATATGAAATATGGTACAAATGTAGCTGCAGGGGGTCCACCGGAACCAGCTAAATTTTGAAAGTGGTCTATGAGAAAAAAGTTTGGGAACCTCTGGATATAATATATTTTTATGTTCAAATTATAGAATATCACATATAATTAAATTGTTTCATGTTCTTTGTATTATTTTTATGACTTTCATGTCATAAAAGTACTTTAGACGTATGATCAGATATGGCTTTATTCCAAGACACACTATACGGTTTTTATTTTTAACTAATTTTTGATTTGTTTTGTTAGTTTTTGTTATATATATAAAAGTGAGTGATTGACTTACTATAACCTAATCATTAATTTGTATTTTTCTTCATTAACTTCTCCAGTGTTTTATTGAACACTCGATATCCGAAGTGATCCCTCACTGAAGTGATCCCTGGTTTCCTATATTACAAGATTCTGCTTAGTTTAGTATGTTATAATTTGAATCTTGTGAAACTATTATGTGTGTGGAGAAAATAAATAATTATTTTATATATCTCTAACGATGAGAAAGTTTCGAAATCAGGGTATATTCTAATATTCTCCATTTCACTCTCAAGGTAGCCTTAATGGCAGTGAACGTGTTAGGCGTGGAGGTAGGAGAAGCAGACAAGGTATCACCGGTGGCAGAAAAAGAGTTAACATATTCACCATACGACGATCTAGCGTTTGTCATGTACGTCGACAACGAGATTGCTGGCCTAGTCAGGAGTTTGGATGAGAAGAAGAGATCTGCTGTTCGTGGTAAGTCCCACAATGCAATAGAAATATTTTATACTGCCTCCTTACCTATTTCTGCCGCCGAGCAGTAATGTGAGCATTACCGCGTTCCGGTTTTGAAGGGTAAGGGTGCTGGTGAAATTACAGGCACATGATGCTTGTTAACTTATGTCTCAGGGTGACGGGCGCAGTGGCAGTGCCCGTAAGATATTTAAAGCTCTGAGTGGCACTGCAACTGTTATGGATAGGCTTACTACGAGGCGCACGACTTATCCGTCCTGTCACTTGATATTATAAAAAAAAGACGCATAACTTGTTCGTTCCGGCAGATAGATATCGTTGGTTGACTCATAATATCTCACACACTCACTAATTATAGAGCAGAATTCATTATTTATGTAGCTGTTGGTCTAACCTAACCATCGAGTATATAATCAGAAATAGAGACGACATTTAATTTACTTTGTTTGAAAACTATTCCGCCAAATGATTACGGTGACAATTACGCTCCGATTGGCCGGTCCGAATTAGAAACACGGGTGTCGTCAATTGTTCCATTTCAAATCGACCAGTTTCATTCGAGCTTAGCTATAATGGACGAAAACTAAAAAATTACATATTTAATTACTATTGAAATGTGATTCCGTTTGTTACAAAACAAACGGAATCACATTAGATATTTTGCTGTTTTTCCTACACCACCCATTGTGAGAGTTATTATCTTTATTACAATAAATACAGAATATTTTTGGAATATACGGAGACGTACACACAGGTCAGATGTTGGCGCTGTACTATTTCAGCTTTCTAATTTGTGATTTCAGCGCAAACGAGAGTTCATATTTAAAAGTGATATAAGGCCCATTTGCCTGATGAGTTGCCAGGGATGGATGGGGCTTATTTCGTCTCTATGTCTGGTTGTATACTCGATGTTTTTAACATATAATTTTTATAAAATTCCACAACGATTAAGCTAGGCAGATTGTTGTAATGTAATGTAATGTAGTTTGTAATGTAATGTGTTGTAACTTATTTTCATGAGGATTGATTCTTTTGTCATGTCACATAATTTTTTCATATAAATATTGTGCTTATTCAGTAAGGATGTAAATTTTTGGTGTCTTTTTTAATACCTAAAACCAACATCCGTATCAGCATCTGTTGATGTTAAGATAAAAAATTCTGCATCCGCTGATGTGTAAAAAACCTGCATTAGCAACAACCCTACACGTTTTATTATATTACGGTTTTACTCTAATATGTGGCCCAGGTATATTGGTGAAGGTAATAAGTAGAATGCATAAAAAATAGTCAATTTCAGGAATTTCTTTAAATTTCAAGCGAGTATCCACCCACCATACCCATATTCTAGATCTTTCTGCCTTCTTTCCAGAGGAACGTTTTGAATACGCCCGACGTCTCAAATCAGCTGGCTCAGCATTAGCAGCAGCTGGGATCCGCATCGGACGATGGAGGCTTCGCAAGAGAACCGCTGCAGCGAGAGACGATTTCGAGCTGGCCAGGAGAATGAGGGACAGGATTGCCGATGCGCTGGTTAGCGTCAAGGAAGATTCGGAGTTGTGTCGCTTATTTGAAACAGATGGGGTAAGTGTAGATATTCATACAATAATCAGATTTTTTAAAACTACAAGAAGACTGACTTCATTCCGCATAACACTGAGAGTGTTGAATCAATCATTTTGGAAAAAATATATCGACTCATCCGAAGAACAGAGTCCGATGTGATTTTATAGCGAAAAGAGAATAAGTACGTTACGAGAACAATTTCGTTATTAAAACTAAGGCCCATGTAATGGTTTTTTAAGAATTTATACATGTTATTTTGTTTTGGAAATATGAAATCGAACAAAGGTCCATCTGACATTCACAGCGAAGAAAAACGAACGAAATGTACTATGTCCTGAGAACAAGTAGTCTTACACATAGGCCTTTGTTCTACGGATGAGTCGATATAGTAAAATTGAGGATATGCACTGATTACTATACGGTGTGACAACATGATTCCTAAAAATTTGTCACACCGTATAGTATTTTTTTATATCAACTGAACTAAATAATACACGTAAACTTATTAATACAAAGATCGAACACTCAGAAGAAATTCCTTCAAACCGGCCGGATTGGAACCGACGTCTTCTAGCTTACCGTGCCAAACGCTATACCAACTAAGCCACGGAACGAACCAGCGGACCTCACGAAGTTTTCTATGTATTTGCTACGTGTCTTTGTATTTGGTTTTTTCAACGACTTTTTAGTCGTAACGCCATCTATGAGAAATCTATGAAAGTTTTATCACCCAGTCAGATATCTTTACAGTTACCAGCCCTGGCGAGAGATTCGCTTCCAGTCGCTATTCACTGTATTTTAAATTTTTATTGAATTGGTATTCAATTATTTTTTGTGAAATTATTCTACTAGTTTGTTATAATTATTAATACAAAGATCGAACACTCAGAAAATATCCGACAGGACATCCGGCCGGGTCGAAGTATTTTTTGTAAGTGTTCGGTCTTCGTATTAATAATTATAATAAATATTAATTTACTTTTAAAAAAACGTATAGAACTGTATACACAGAATAACGTTATGGTTGGACTGGCATGTTCTCGGGAACAAAAGTCTTAAATAATTTTATTTAATAATAAAGATAAAAAAGGTTACTAGATTATTTGCAAAAAGCCTTGTATTGAATTCCTTAACTACTAGAATTATTAACCTTAGAACAGAATACTAGTGTTTGGACACAAATGTGCAATATATGTATATGAATCGTATCTTCTTAAATCTCCGTATTGATCTTTTTCCAGCCTAACCGACGCAACGACTCCTCCATGCATCAAGAATATGATTTCTCCCACCACCTGTCACCATCCGTCGCAGCCATGTCACTTAGCCTAGATATCCCGTCCCCCGTCCCACCAGTGGGACGGGACAATCAGCAGTATGAGAATGAGGAGGAAGTCGATAATGTCCAAGGGGTAAGGATTTAGTTTATTTTTTTAAACTTGCAGTGACTCGGTTGTGTTTAAAAGTATTAACTTTTTATTATTAAGATGAATTATCATCTACGCTTTTTATTATTTTGTCTAAAATAGATCAATTTGAGACTGGTTTCTATTTAAATCTAAAAAAAATGTATTTTAAAGCCTTATTCACATACGAGAATCAGAAACCATAAATGTGGTATACCAAAATCATATTTTTCTAGTCACCCGTCCAAGTCTACGAAGAAGAAGTACAACACCATGCCGAGACACGAAACCATGATTACCAGCCGAGCCAAGACGTAATACAAGAACAAAAAGACGCGCAGAAGAAACTAGAAGAGTACAAAATGATGGAGGAACATAGGAAAGAGGAGTTTCTAAAAGAAGAACAACGGAAGGAAGAAATGAGAAGAACGGAAATATTAGATGAACAGAGAAAATTAGAAGACAAAAGAAAAGTAGATGATGAAGAATTTAGGAAAGAGACTGATAGTCCGCGGAGGAGTATTACACCTAATGCTGCCAATGGTAAGTTTATCGAGCACCAAAACGATCTGAACGAGTTTAATAAATCAAGTGAATATCTATGTTGCTGTTGAAGTTTCTTTATAACTACAGATACCAGGCTATAATGTCTGAGGTCTCTAATATTAGAGTAGATTCATGACGACCCCTATCTTTACCTAATTCTCGTCCACATGGTAGAGCTTTATTATAAAAATATTTCTACTTTCACCTCACAGTACTTAACTAGTCCACACTTGAAAACTATTTCTCAATGGTTTTACGAACGATTCTCCTCGCTCATTAATTCTATGCTATGAGCTGTTTCGGGGACAAAGGTGGCAAGCTTTCTGTAGTCGTTCTTCAGTTCTATGTGGGCACAAAAAGATATTATCTTTTGTTTAGGAACATTAGTAAGAAGAAGAAACAAAAGTGCAGGCCCAAGATCTACGTTTGAAGCTTACGAAGAAAGGCTATTACCAGCACTTAGGCAGTGAGTAAACTCTACGTTACTTTTTATCTAGGTTTCTATGTATTTAATAAAATTTCTTCACAATACCGATTGAACGTAAACTAAATGCTTCTTACCCGCAAACTTTTTTCCCGTCCCACCACTGAAATATTTATAAAACGTCGGTACTTAACTCAGTGTCTACTTGTAGTATTGATGTATTTTCAAAATTACTCTAATTAACTCATCGACTATATAACCAGAAATAAAGACGAAATGTCATTTAATTTGTTAGAAAACATTTGGTATTTAAAAGTGATTGAAGGCTCATTTGCCTGATAAATTGCCAGGAATGGTTTGCCCTTATTTCGCCTCTATTTCTGGTTATATACTCGATGAATTAACTAATGAGTTCAAGTTAAACTGAGTGACTATTGTGGGTCAAAATTTTCTAACGATAGTCTTTCGTTTGTAGTTCCCACACTAACGAATATCTTCGGGAAGCGAAAGAAGAAGAGTGCAGTGCAGGTAGCGCGTCGTCGCACCCTCGCCTGCCGCATAAGCTTAATGAGCGAGAGAGGAAGCAGGCGGCACTGCCGATACTTATATTTGGATATCCTCTTGTACGTATTCATCAAGAATCCTATGGAAAACATTTCATAGAAATCTCATTCGTATATAAATACCTTGAAAGAACTCCCTGTAACGTTTCAGCCTAAGCTTTGTTTATGCGGAAATACAGGAAACCAATGAGATGACGAAACCTCATGAATATTGGAAATTAACAGATCTTCTTAAAGGCATGGTTTCAAAATTGTGTGGCTGTAGTTTCGACAATAACTTGCTCATTTATTAATGTTCTACTGCTTCCTTAGAAGGTACGATTTTTTAAAACAGTTTTTTACATTTCAGGTAGAAAAATTCTACTCCAAAAACTATCTAGACAAAGAAGAAGGCTTGGCCCGCCTTCGAGCAGAATTGACAACCCCTTCTAACGGTAGCACTAAGACTTCACCGAACAAGACCGCGAGGGCAGCTGCACTGTTGCTGCAGAGAGCTCTGAGAGATAAGGTCTTCTCGGTGTACAGCCAGGCTAATGAGGGTGTCAGAGTGTTATTCCAACAGTTTGTACCTGATCGGTAAGTAACGTACTTGAAGTATAATTAGTAGATCTTATAATAACTTCCTATTGCGTTTGATGTAAAAGAGGTGTAGTTGTAAAGACAAACCGTTGATTCATAGTGTCTATAAATGATTGAAAACCTCAAGGCTCAGAAATTTTCTCGAGAAAAATTACTTAAAAAATAGGCGAAACTCAAATTCTATATTTTTTTGAGTCCTTAACTGAAAAACTTTAAAATTAATATACCCTGGTTGGAAATAGTTCAAGGGTAAATATGTTTTCAGGGTTTGTGCAGCAGAAGTGCAGCGTTGCCTGGAAAAGCTGCTACCAGAACTGCTGCGGGCCTGTGGAGACCCTGCTCCCAGGGTGCATTCCACTGCACAACACACAGTGCTTACTATAGCTGATTGCCCGCAAGTTAAGTAAGTATGTCATATCTGACGAAACTAACACAACGCACAAGGTTTATACAAACAAGGTTACGTAAACAGGGCATCTAAATAACTCACCGAAACACCGAAACATCTGTCAAAAAATCTCTCCCATAGTTGTGATCTGTTTAAAAATGTATCAGATTAATATTTGTAACAGGTTTTACTTCAGCTGCCCATAAGTATTCAAAAAAAATTCAAAATTCAAAAAGTTTATTTCAGACATAGTCCATATTAGTGTTAGTTACAAAAAAATTCTTACAACCTATGTTAGTACTAAATTTGCGAAATATTACAGTAACTTATAAATTAAACCCCTGGAACCCATGTGGACTGAGTTCCAGTGCTTCCACAATTCACTGACAGGGTTCTCTCAGATCAAACGAACTAGGCTATTGGAACTGCCACTCACGCGACGCGTCAGGGAGGCAGTTCTCTTCCGAATAATCGCGCTGAAGCTATCAATACGCGCGTCCGCGAACATATCTGATGCGCTGCAAAATCGTGGCAACCCCAATAGCATCCTAAGACCATTATTGTATTGAACACGCAGGGCATTGACCGTCGCTTTAGTGTAATTTGTGTACAGGCTGCACGTATAGAAGGTCTGACAAAACGCCCTGAAAAGGGTGGCATTAATTACCCTCACAACGCGCAAACCTGCGTGACAACATATTACAACGTACGGCCAACGCTCTGCGCTCCCTCTCCATATCTATGGTCTACATCCTTTGCCCATCACTTCTTCGGCTTCCTCGGGCCCTTCTTATATAACGGATGTAATGGTGATCTGCATATTTATCCTCTAAACAAGTTTGAATGTAGGAACGTGGTCACTAAAAGGCTATTGACTTTGTCATATGAGGAAACCGAAAACCTCCTTCTTGTTCCATTATAGTTAATTCCCACACACACAAACACACACTCTCACTCACACACTCACACACACACACAACACTCACTCTCACACACACACACAACATAATTCTTGCCCTCTAGTCTTCAATTTTATTTATATTTATAATTTTTTGATTTGTATAAACCTAATTTTGAGTAACTTTCTCTCATAGCAATCATTCGTGACGCAGTCAATGTTGTTTTTTTTGATACTTTATCCGTATGCGGAGGCCTGGAGACCTATAGCACAGGGTATCCTAGTTTAGGCTCCAGCCTTCACAGACAACAAATGTTTTATTACTTAAGAATGTTTAATATGGTTGAAATTGTGTGTGAAGGAAATAAAATTTATTATTATTATTATCGTATTTATTTTAACGAATATTTATTATTATTATTATTATTATTATTATTGTTATTATTATCTACATCATCCTGCAGATTTTCTGTGACCCAGTGCCCTAGGTATTTAAACCTTGCTACTCTCTTGAGAGGCGCACCACACAAATAAATAGGAGGGATTGAAGCGAGGGCTTTGTTACCGGCTTTAAACTACCGGTATTAGTAGGGCAACAGTATTAAACGGGTGAGGGCGGGTGATGTTGGATAGGCAGGGGAGTTGGAGACCACAGATTTTTGGTCGGCTAATGCCAAGGATATCTTCCGTAAAACTATGGTCAAAGACAGCTCCAATGATGAAATTATTAAATCATTTACATTACTTAAAAGAAAAGCCGCAAACGATACGGACTTTTCAGATTTGCCAGTGAAAGTAGAATGTTTTCTTACTAACTTTTTTATTTTAAGCACCATAGTTTTTAAAATAACCTTCTATGTCCAGGGCCATCCACTATATCCCTCAGCAGCTGGTGAGGCCGGTCCCCGCCAGCATGCATCCGAGAATGGCTCTCAGTCGTCTGCAAATGCTGGAACAGCTCATTCTCAGTCATGGCATCTTGACTGAAAAGAATAGGTAGGCAATTAAATTTATGTCTACATAGCCGTAAGCCCATTGGGAGAATTACAGTGTCAAAGTCTACACTGATCCAGGACTAATTCAGCACAAAATCAGGTTATTTATTATCGAGTTCTTAGGTTTTCGCGATTGTTACACATAGGAATGAAACTATTTTTCCGGATTTAAATCGCGTATATTTGTTTTTTCAAACAAACCGACGTTTAGGGCCCTTTACAGGTCCCATGGTCACGGTTGACTTGAGTCAAATATACGCGATTTAAATCCGGAAAAATAGTTTCATTCCTAGGTTATTTATTATTTGGGACTAAATATTCAAGAATTCATCAAATATTCATAAATTCATGAAAAATGGTATCACTTAATGTTTTATTTTTTCTTATGTTGTAGCATGTCATATTTATAGCGTATAACCGTTTTTTCATCTAACTTTCAAAGCTAGCAATTTTACTACCAACTCCAATCTGCAAAAAACTAAGCACTTAGCTAGGGAACACCCGGATTTGAACCGGGGACCTATCGATCTGCAGTCGATTGCTCTACCACTGAGCTATATCCCCTTATAACATCCACGTTTAAATTTCGAGACAGTTTAATTGTTTCACGACGTAGGCAATGACGTATGGAGTTTCCGAGAGCAATCTGAAGTTAAGTGACATCAAAATATTGACATTGTAAATTCAGCGATGCGAAGGGAGTTTCGACAAGTGCGTTTCTAGATTTACATGGAACTGAACCAAGGCTTTGAAGAGACTCACTTCATGTCCCTGTACTGTAGGCAGTGTCGTCAAAAGACTCTTTTAATTGTCGATTCGCCTTGACGAACGCCATGCAGTTGTCGGAAAAACATCACTGAGAGCGTACCACGTTAAGCGTTACTTATCATTACGGGGTCGGCGGACAAGCTGTGAACAATTTCCAAGTGTACGGTGCAACTTTCTTTACTCATGCCACTGTAGGTTCGAAACATTCCAAGCCAGTAAATGTGAAAAAAAGTTGGTGGTGATTAAAGATTTACGCCACATTGTGTTAAAAAAAATTGACAATTTTTTTATGTCGTCTAGCGGCCTAACTGTCCGTCGCCTAGCAGAATGCGGAGCCGCCGGTGCTCAACATGCAGCAGGCTCCGTCAGGGCAGCCGCTGAGCGAATCCTTCTCGCCGCTTACGCAAGGTCCCCAAGAGTAGTTCGGGCCCAACTTCCTCCTGATGACGCTGTTACTAGACGGAATTTAATCTATCGACATCTGTTTCAACAGTTTGATAGGATTGACATGCAGGTGAGTTTTACTGGCTATTAAAACTTTACTGTTTTGGTACTTATAAAATAACAATCAGACTATGGTCGGAACCCTGAGTGTTCATGGAGATCCAGTAATGGGAAGTATCAGTTGATAAACCACAGTTCCTAAATTACAAGTACCTGGTATTCTATACTGGAACAGGATCTGTGATGTTTCTGAAGATCGTTGATATTGTGTGCATCCATTTGACTCTGATTTTCATTGTATAGCATTAGTTAGACATCGTGATATGAGCATTTTGGTGACTTTTTAAAACCATTTTAAATCCATCTTATAATATTGATAATCTTCTGAATCATGGATTGGAAATAATTGTAATGATTGGTACCCTACTTCATTTTAAAGTCTGAATAAAGGAACCTTTCTTTCTATCTCCAGAAAATGCTAAACCAAGCCCCTACCGAGGAGCAACTCTTAAACGGGCATCAATCAATGGCGGATTCCACAACTGAAACCACCAGCATGAGTCAATCAATACGCAGCGGTATTAGCGGCATGACATCATCGCTCATGACGTCATCCTTAATGACGTCATCCTTGGGGGCTACATCGTCGTACAGCCTAAAATCAATGACGTCAAGCGTCAGTGGGGTTACCCTTGCACCTTCAAGCTTAGGAAGCTACAGTACGACAACATCTAAAACGAAAAGCAGTCTGAAAAAAAGTCCTACGAAAAGATATACACCCAGCAGGGCTATTAAGGACTTTTCGAATTATCCGGGTTATAATAAGTTGAGATTGGATAGTGCTGTTAGTCCAAAACATTCACCAAGGTCCAGTACGGGTGGTGTTGAAAAGGTGAGATTTAGATAAGAAGATAATAATATGACTAACACAATCCCAACTACTTTTCGCCTTACGTCTCATCTTGTTATATTATTATATGTAACGACACGTCCTCAATTCTTCGACCTTAGCTTATAAATGATCTTATCTGACCAGGTCCATTTCCAAGAGAACCAGACGGAAGAAGTAGTCTATCGCCGTGCCAACCGCATTCCAGAAAACCGTCATTCCATGATTCACTACGATCACGAATCGTCGAAACCTCAACTAAAAGAACGTCCAATCACAGTCTACGAACCTTTGCACTTGGATTACCGAGATTCTCCAACTTTGGGATCTCCAAAAGCTTCAAGAAACGACGTCCGAAGTATGGATTCTCTACCAATGGATTCACCAAGACATGAACTGCGATGTGATTCGGACAGAAGTTTGGACTCGCCGAAAGTGAAGGACTATTTTCGAGAATCGGCTTTGGAAAGTCCGAAATTGGTTGCTGGTTTGCGGAATTTACATTTGGATGAAAGTAGTCAGATGGATGAAAGCGGGTATTACAGTCCTGGTTAGTTAACACGATACAGTCAGTCTTCTCGATCGCCTATAATTTTTTTTCTTGCCCTTACATTTTCAATTATTTTCCTGTCTGTTTTCAAATTCCAATTTCTTCAGATGTCATTTTGCTTCGCCATCTCATGTTATTAGGATGTACGTAAGCGATAAAATGATACTATGGGTTATAGAGAGATGTTTATTATTCGATCCCCACAATATTTATTATATATATTCCGTACAAGAGATTATACGTAATACTTACATTGTTTCTAAAAAGCGAATGTTTAAACATCGTGATGATGAATTTCTAAGTGAATTTCTCACACGCTTCAAAGCCAATGCAACCACGATAACATTTTAATTAATAAATTCACCTAATATGTGTTTCTGTTCAGGTCGAAAGCAGCAGATGTCGTTGAACGAACATCAGCTCTTTGAGAGCTACGAACCCAGTGCTGCGGACGCCAGCTGTGATTCTACCCCAGAACCTGCTGTCTGCAGGTTAGTGTAGTGTAGACGCTTAAGAAGTTTTTGATTGATATGATTTTATATTGATATGTTTTTGTTATCAAAAACATAATACTTAGTCTATATACAGTCTCATTGCTGGGCTCAGGTCTTTTCTCACAACGGAGGGCTACTTGTAGTAGGGCTGAAAAGTGTACAAGTTTCCTCTCGATTGTTTTCCTTTACCGAAAGCTTATGGACTTTCACACTTTGTCTCGTTGGCGAAGGGTGCTTCTTCTGGCTCTATACTTATATCCGCGTTCCACCCAAGGTGGACATTGATACAATGTCTAAGATTTATCTGCTGGTACCCATGCGTATACCTTGGAGTGATGAGGGTGCGGTGGCCCCACGCCGCCGGCCGAGGCTCTTACTTGCCCGTCCTACTCGTACGGTAGGTACTTACCGCGAACGCGTCAACCGTTCGGATCGGGGACATACTCACTCAGTGTGTTCATATTGACATCTTCACTGATAGCGGTGAATATATATGTAGGCCGAGTTGTAAATTTTTAGAATTACAATAGTTATAGTAATATCATAATGAAACATATTTATAATTATCTGTTTAAGACATGTAAGCGTGTTGGCTATTTAGCTGTTAGTTTACAATGTGAATGAATAAATAAATAAATATAGAATCATGGTATATTTCAAATTAAATTTCTTATGCTATTCATGTTATTAGATTTAACATTGAAAGCCCTTTTTGCCATACAGTACATCATGTACGTGGTGCGGGCGCCGCGTGCGGTCTGACACTTTAGAAAGTCACTACTGGAAACGATGTGTGCTACTGGCCAGGTGTCCGCATTGCCGCGTTGCTCTTGAGGCTAGAGTGCTGCATACACATCTACTGGGTAACTTCTGTTTAATATTCTATCAATGTACAAGCTCTCTTTTAGATTGGCCTTTTTAAGTAGCTGTAGAGCTCCTTGTAAAACAGTTCGCCCAGGGACTTCCAGTAAGTACTACCACCGAACTGTAATGCGGGCATTATTGTGTTCCGGTTTTGAAGGTTAAGCATGCAGGTGGGACTTCGTTAAATATCATGATAGTAAAATATCGTGATATTCATTAAACTTACTTCATGGGACTTGTCAACTTATGACTCAGGTTGATGGGCACAGCGTCAGTGCTCGTCAGAGCTTTGCGATGTAAAAGATCTGAGTGGCACTGCAACTGGAGAGGCGTGTCACTTACCACCACGCGCACTTGTTCGTCACTTGATATCATAAAAAGAAAAAAAAGGCGCCTAAACTGCTCATAACTAAAACTGCGTGAAACTGACTATAACCTAATCGTTCGATCTTAATCTTCCAATAATAGGCACTTTGAAATGCCAATGCTTAGAGTGTATGTACGTTATGAACGTGCAGACTCAAACGCGATACAGACGCGCGAGAAGCGCGTTCGCAGTTCTCTTGCACTTGCGACATAGAAGTTTCTCGCGATTTATGTCGCACCTGCGCAAGTCGCGCCTTCTCGTGCTAGTCCTAAGTATTGCGTTTGGAACGATTCAAACTCGCGCAAACATCGCGTTGCAAGCACAAAGCTTACAATACTCCACTAGAGTTTACACTTAGAATTTCATGTAAGTGGTTAATTCATTTCAAGAAGTAACTGAAATTAACAAACGAAACTAAAATTAAAACTATCTCTTGTACGCGCGACTTGTACAGCGTGTCTACGGCGCATGTCCGCGCAGATGACGCGCGTTTATGGTGCAAAGGTTTACTCGCTGCGACTGCATTTGAATCGCGTTTACGCGCGTCGTCGGCGCGTATAAGATACGCCCTGTGCATAGGCCCTGAGTATTATAAAAAGAAAAAAAATGGTATACTGCTCATTGCTACCACTGCATGAGACTGACTATAACCTAATCGTTCGATCATGGTTCGATCTTATCTTTTGAGATGCCAGTGCCTTTTAAAAGAACCGCTGTCATTTGGTCTATCAAAAAAATACCCATTCGAAAAAACTAAAAACAAAAACAATCAATTAAAGATAGAACTGCACATAGAACAAATTTCTGATATGAAAAATTAATCAATGCGCTTTGTAGCATATAGTGGATATTTGATTGTATTTGTTCATGTCATTAATTACATTACTTTGTTCACAGAAGAGTGTTCAATTAGTGAGGGCTCCTGGAAGCCGTGTCACAAGTGTGGAGCTGCTTTAAGAACCGACGAAAGTGATTACCACGTCAACTGTATACGTGAGTTATAGTTGTACAACAATCTATAATTATATGATAGATTTTCAGACATATAGTCTGCAACCCGTTGCACACTGGCTTACAAGTTGGAATAAAATTGGAAAATAATTGTATTAAAAATGTCACTCCTTTAACTTTACGGAAATCGAACGAGGTGTACAATTCCACTGGTCAAATAGGTACAATACCGTCCGCCAGTGTTGCCAACTAGACAAAAGCAAATGCCGCTAGACAGAAGGCTTAAAAGTCGCTAAAATTATATTTCCACTCTATATGAAAAATCTACTCTTATGGCCTTACTCATCATAAGGTTCATTTCATTGGCAAGAATTTTATGGTCAAAACATAGATAAAAGACCCGGGCATCTACTCTTGTTCTCCATCCGACTTCAGTCCCAAACCATAACTGTCAAATAAGTAATATTTGACCTTAGAGGATGGAAAAAAATGAAATTTGACTAAAAGACAATGTCAAGTGTGAAGCTTCATTCGCATCATGAGTCAAACGTTCTCCGTCCGACAGGGCCTGGCCCATATCTTCCAACTTAACTTTTGATTATAGTATTTTGTTGTTAAATAGAAATATAACGTAGTTTTTATGTCAAAATATTGCTCTATAAAGACAAATTCGCTGCACGCGGTGTCGTTTCCAGCACATTCAATACGTAGGTACCATAGCATAGGACGTAGCTCAGGTAGCGTAGCGAGAGGAACTTTATAAATATAAACGGCGATTATATCATAATTATAACTTTATACGTGCATTTAATTTCAAAGCGTTGTCCAGAACTCCTAGATGTCTGTTTGACATCAACGCTCTATTATTCTTACAATTCTAAATACAAACCCTAAGCTGCCTGTACTACAGTACTTAATACTTACGCTATAATAGCCTACTGAATCTGAGTAATGACATCAAGCGCTCACTACGAGGAAAAGGAACTAAGCACATCCTTAGCGATGTGAAAATAACGTTGCCGGCCGTGTGCCGTTCTGCGGAGCAGAATGTTCATCAATGACAGACTTGTGTGAGCGCTTGTGCCGACGTCGGTACACTCAGCGATAGGCACTTATCGCGTATCCATGAACGAGTAGCAGAGCCCTGACATAGGCTCCGTACAACGCCTCCGCCGTTAGACAACGCTCGCGACAGTGTAGCTTTGCCGGTAGAAGGAGTTATGCTGTACAGTTCAGGTACTCATGATAGTTTCTCCGACATATAAGTACGAACAACAGCAGCAGACTACAACGTATTGACCTTGAGCACTTCGAATGTTAATCATATTTCGGTTTTAATTCCTTTAGCAGTTTTATGTTTTGACATTAAATAAATTTGAGAAAAAAAAATTATATCTGCTGCGTCTAAGTTTTAGGTACACTATAACTCTAACAAATTGATTTTGAGCCTTTCTACTGTCTATGTTGATATGATTATCAAAAAAGCGCCTCTATGTCAGGGTACAAAAGTAATTTGTCAATCTTTAGTAGGTGAATTTGTTTTCTATACAGCGTTGGGCATGGACGAGTGGAAATGCCCGTACTGTCTAAACAACGTGCTGGCACGAGATCTACCGTGGCAGCGCCATCTTATGCAGTGCCCCAGGAACCCAAGGCTCGTACAGAACACGTAGGCGTGATGCTGACTGACAAATGTGCGTTTGGCAAGATCTTTTCTGTCTGGTTGAATTATAAAGATTCATAATGTGACCGTATAATACCGACGGAAATACATGAAACAATTTGCAAGCGTTATTTTCAAATTGAACTCGAAAAGTAGACTACGAATTTAAACTTTGACTTATGTGATCGTCGCCATACGTATAATTTGTTATTCAACGTCAAGCTTTTTAAGTATAGGGTATGTATGTAGGAATGTATGGAATTGTATGTGGTTTGAGATGTGATTATTCGGAGATTAATTGCTTCGCGCTAATTTATTTCCATACATATTTATGTACCTAACTGTAACTTAACCAGAGAACAAAAAGTAACAAGATTGGACACTCTCCGCCCCTACCTAGCTAGATACCGCAACACGCCCCGCTCACTGACGGTCACATTGACTGAACGGCTAAAAGGCTGTCGGTGAGCCGTTTTATGAGACGCTAAGACGCCTTTGATATTTGAATATAGTTTTCATTCATTCATTACGAAACTTGTACGTATGCGTACGTATTATAATACAGATTTATTATATCATTATAATGAGATGTAAATCATTAGACAAGGGTTTCTCGAATTTTCAATTTATATTGCCGATAAATATGTAGTGAATATAATTATTAACTAGGTAATAATAAAGTTGCACACGCAATTTCAAATACCTTGGTTACCTTATTTAAAATTACCTGTCCAAATTATAACTTTTTAGGTGCTTTTAAACTTTTTTTTAAAATAAACCTTCAGGATTATTTTAGTATAGAATTAATGAAAAATATAATTGATATAAATACCTAATAAACATGTGTAATTATTAGGATTCTATTAATAGTTAGAAGTTTCGCTATGTTGCCGCTCTGACCACGTACGAGAAGTGATTGGTAATCCTTGCCACTTCACGCACACATTTGCACGTGTGCAGATAGCTCCTTGCTGTATGTAGAAATAGTAGGTAAATAACTTTCTAGGTAAATGACCCAAGGTGTTTTTGTTTGTGGCTGCCAGAGTCGCGCCACCCCTGTGTGCGATGAGTGCGGTGCACAAACCGGCCGCCCTAAGACGCCCAAATAAACGACGAAATGTAATATTTAACGAAATATTTAAGTAAATTCAAGTTTTCAAGGTTATATAAGCAAGTATTTGAACTTAATAAAGAACAATGCGAGCCTTTTATGATACTGGCAACGAATCATTGCCTTTTCTTTTCAGTGGGTCATAGACCAGTTGTCAGTTCATTCAAAATTGAAAAAATATCCGGCTTACCTCCCTCGCGCTGTATCATGGCCCGTATTCCGTTCAATCAGTAATGATGAGTCACAACCATCGACCATTCCAATTTCGTCAAGAACTACAAAAGTATTTAAGTATTTATTAGAAATGGTTAGAAAGAGACAGATAGAGGCAGAGAGGGAGAGAGGTAGAGGTATACAGGAAGAAAGTGATAGATAAAGAAAGAAACAGAGAGGGAAAGAGGTATGGAGAGAGAGAGAGAGAGGTAAAGAGGTGTAGAAAGCTTTAACGAAAAGCGACTCGTGAAACTCATCATGCTCATGCTCACATTCAATTTTAGTGCTTTTATTTTATTTTATAGTTAAAGTACATCAACAGTAGTACATATACTCTTAGGTAATAGTGTAGTTTCACATTAGTTTTGTACTTATATGTCTACCCATTACAGATGTACACAGCATTTAATATCTATGCAACAGAAACAATAACACGAGTGCTGACACTGAAGAGGCGCTTCCTAATTTTCGTTAAGGCGGCACTGATCGCTGACTTTAAAAACTTCCATTTCTCACATCTTAAACCACAAAAGAAAAGTGCGATGCGAAAAGTGTATTTTAAAAATGCGGGTGAAAGTAAAGTATCACGTTAAGAAGTTAATTTGAGACTCACGGGACACGCGTTATTTACTCCCTTTCAAATGTTTCATTAAAATTGGTCTTGTGAGTTCTTTCTCTTCCCGGAGCTACAGCTACACATATACGTAAAGAAAAAGAGAGCGATCGAATCGAAGATGGAGAAAAAGGGAGCGATAGAAATTACATAGTTACAAGTTAAGTTCTTAATGTTATACTGGTGAGAATGAAAAATAATAAAGCTCTAAGAGATTTTTCTTAATGTCAAATTTTTCTACCTCCAGATTGTAAAGGTCGTTTGCAATTTCATGAAAATTTTATTGTATCTCAGTCAGTTATGTTACAGAGATTACGATGTTATTTTTCATGTGATTTTCTTTCGGTCTATATAAGCTAATAACTTTTGGAGACTGTCCGGGAAGTTGAAATTGTAGGGTTATTGTAACAAAAATATTGTTAATTTATTACAAAAGCAGGGATTTTAGAATAACCACTCGATTTTTAAGTTTTAACTGTTATGTTTATAAATTGAGTTAAATGTTTTTGAAATCCTTTTAGTACAATTGATTATGTTAATTCCTTAAATATTCGTCACTTTGGCATTATTTAAGGCCCAGCGCAAACGAAGCGACATGGCGCGATATGTAGTCTATTCTACGTGATGACGCGACTACAATCATATATCGTCTGCTTTACACCAAACAATCAAAATAGACAAATATTTGACTAAGTAGCTGTAGAACGGTTTAAAAAAAATTAGAATTTTTAATAAAAAAATTACCTGAACGACATTGCCAATTTTACGTGTAGTATTTTGTTTTAAATATGATCGTCGAAGTGTCAATTTTTGACTGTATCTATAAGAGCACTGCTTTTTAGTCCGTTTCTACCGTCCGTTTTAATTGAATGCCGTCTTTGAATGCTCATCTTATCTGTTTGTCGTATTTTTATTTCACGTAATTTAAGGGTTTTAGTATTTTTTCTTAATAAATGTCGATTTTGGGGCATTGATAGTTTTAACTTTAAGATCCAACATTAATTAAAAATAATCACCTTTATCTATCACGCTTAAGAAGGATATGAACATCCGCAGAGCTATCTCTATCTAGCAGTATTGCCATCTACTGGCATGTAATAGGTAATTTGAAAGGCTTAGAACTATTTTTATGTATTATTTATTTTTATAAATTGGCAAATTTACAGGGGAGCGTTTTAAAGTCACTGTTTTAAACACGTGACTTTAGCATTTCTTAGTTTTATTCGACAAAGCTCATCACTCACATCTAATAGATTATTGTAGATCATCTAACCGATATCTAGGATTTTATAATACTCTACGTAACGAACTTTGCCAAATAAAACTGATAAATGCTAAATTCACGTGTTATGCTTATTTCAATCAATTCAGAGCTTTAAAACGCTCCCCTGTAAACTTGGCAATATCGATATACGATACTTCACGTAGGAGGGGTCGAAATTTGCTACTTACTACGAAACTTAAATAAAGGTGATGTTTTTTTTGTAATGCGTGTCATAGAATCGACTTTTAAGTTATTTAAAAAAAATATTCTGGATACTTAGTAATCTGATACACGTCTGAAATTCTTTTAGAAAAAGGAATGATTGTTAGTGGTATGACATATTATATCAATTATTACATTACAAGTTACTTTTGAAGAGTTTGAAAACCTCTTTGTATATGTAATAATGATATATCGGTAATTTTAGTTACAAAGTATTAGTCAAATGGATTTGAAATTTTAGTTTTAGTAATTTATATAATTATTAGAATGAATATTCCTTATATCATAGATTAAAAGCGTATTATATTATGAATAATGTACAAAAGGAAAAGAATCAGAGCAATCCTCAAATTTCAGTAGCATCTTAGTGTAATCCTAGATTTTAAGTACCTAGTTATTAGAAGTTAGTTTCATTTCGTAATTTATACAGATATATAACAATAATATTATAGATGTTCTAAACAATTTTATATGACTGTGGATACCTCAAATATATAAGACAAAGTAAATGGAATTGACAAATTAACAGAGAATATTCTGCATGAGGATTTAGTTGATTTGGTTTAGCTTTTATTTTGCTGCGTTCACGTAGTGATCTGTCTTAGTAATCTAAATATATAAAAAAATACTTACTTTTTTATTTAGTAAACTTAAACAGAACTTAGAATTAAGAAAAAAACGTATTGTTAAGTTCAGTTACACGAGAATTCTCTCTGTTAACTAGTCAATGATTAAATTATCACATAACTTTAGAGTAACTTAGCTTAACATTAGCTTAACTCAAGCCACATCACCCCACTGTGATAGGAGTGGTATATTTTGAAACATTAGCGTCTCTACGAACGGTCGACATTTGAAATCAGAGGTAAAAATCGTACCAACTTGTTGATTCAATTGATTAGATTCAGCTAGAGAGATTTAATTATTAATGTGATATGACATCCACATATGTATTTGATCTGAACGCTACACTAGTCACCCCATGTCTTTGCCATAATAAGTCCACCATAATAAGTTCACCACCCTGATGCGGATTGAGGACTTCTTAGCGTTACGAAAAATACTACAATTGTCTCTGACATGCAGGTTTCATTAGGGTATTTTCCTTCACTGCTATAGAGGGTGATATAATATAATAATGTAACTTGACAATGAGTTGTATTTATCGATATTTATTTGAAAGAACTACACTATTTTTGTTATGATTATTAATGCAAAGATCGAACACACAGAAAAATTTAGTCGACCCGGTGCCGAAAGCCAGTATCTATAAAGCCAGTATATCTATAAAAAAACACGTAGGAGAATTTCAACGGCTCGGTAACTAGACCCGTAGCTCAGTTGGTAAAGAACAATGCTACGGTGCAGCAGGAACGTGGGTTCAAGGCCCATCGGGTCGACAAAATTTTTCTGTGTGTCCATCTTTGTATTCATAATATCATAATGAGTTGTATTTTAGTTTAAGTTAAAGATTATATAGAATCTATTCAGGAAAAGTCAACATCGTTCAATTATAATGATAATTAATATCTTTTCCAGTGTCTTCCGACACAAAAAATTGAGATTAAGTTCACTATCTCATTTATTGTATTAGAAAAGTCATAATAAATATTATTCACTGCGGTAACAGCATCAATACTGCAATTTCAGTTATTCTCTAAGATTAAAAAGAGATGCCATTATCTGAAAAAGAGAATTCTAAAGTCGGCCGTGTGTAGAGGCGTTAACTATGATAACAGGAACACAAGAGTGGTATTTAGTTGATGGTTTAGCGATAACGATTTTTAGGTTACGTAATATTAAATTAAGGTCCATAGTGTGATTTAAATTTATTTTCTTGCATTTTAAAATTTATCTTGCAGGACATTAGTTGTGCTACAGGTTCTCTGACAAAATCGAGTAAAGGAAATAAAACTGCGTAATTGGGTCTATCCGTCTCAATGTTAACTTTCACTATACACAAGGAATCAAAGTACAGACACATGAGACTCATCAATTTACGTGTCAAGGTGACGGGTGCAGTAGCAGTGGCCCTCAGGGCTTTGCGATTTAAATCTCTAAGTGTCACTGCAATTGGTAGCCGTATGACTTGCCAACAAGAAGATATCGTAAAAAAGACACCTCAAAAGTATCTTTAGAATAATGATGTAATAACCATTGTAACAACTTTAATGACACTATATATAACCATCATTGTGAAAAAATACTTACTTTATTTTGTTCTACACTTGTAATTCCACATTTATAATCTACACGCCTGTCCATAACAGCTTTAAGTCGCAAAGATCTGCGGGGCACTGCCGCT